GGCAGACCTCTCCTGACCCGCCCGCTGCTCCCCTCAGCAGTGTGCTTCGTTGATCTGCCTGTTCTGCTCCCCGCTCTGTCCCTGGTGAATCCTCTCACCCTCCATGTCTCTGGCCTGTACCCCAGTTCTGTATGAACAAGTAAATAAAAATCTTAAAAAAAAAAATCATTTCCTTACAAATACATAAATAAAAATATAAAACTTAAAAAAATAAGTTCATTTCTTGAGTAAGCATTCAGTCTCTAGGGGGTTCCTGGCAGGGGACACACCATTCCCAGAGGAATAAAATGGATGGCTCTGGGTCAAGCAGGAAGTGAGGGAAAAAAGACTTGGGTACAGGGAGAGCCAGGCCGAGCCAGACTGGCCAGAGGGTGGTGAGATTCCTCAACGTGCCGGGTCACTAAGCCCAGTCCCGCGTGACCTCAGCTGGACACACCATTATCATCCATCCCTGGCTGGACACTGCCCTGCTGTCAGCGGCTGGCTGGGCACCTGGGTCCGTGCTCTCCCCAAGTGCTTCCTCACCCCACCGGGCTCCTCAGCCCTCCCTGCTGCCCCCACAGGAGGAGGAAGTATCCCGTCCAGTCCCAGGTCTGCGCAGTTCACCCGGCAGCATGGTGGGTGGCTCCCACCCCCCAACCCTCTCCCGCCCGCCTCCCCCTCAATGGGTGGGGAAACTTGTCCTCCCTACAACTCTGCGTTCAGCAGGGCCAGGGCCTGCGGGCAGTGAACTGGGAGCTCGGAGTGAGCCGGGACACAATCCCCGCCTGGCTAGATAATCCCTGCTAGAAGTGACTACATCATTACACACTCCTAGTGCCCTTAAGTAAAAACCTGCCCTGGGGGAGTGAAACAGGGTAGTGAAACATTGGGGTGGCGGTGGGATGGTCAGGACGGCCTCCGGGAGACCTAAGGGAGAGTGGGTGTTGGCGAGGGGCCGAGGGTTGGAGGCAGAGGGGCGGAGGGTTGTAGCCTTCGCCTGCCAAGGCTCTGGGGGGCCTGGGCTTTCAGCTCTGATGAGGTCCCAGGGGAAGGTCAACGGGGCTGGGAGGAAAAAGAGCGAGGAGAGACCACACTGGGCACTGTGGCAGGAGGAGGATTTGGGAAATCGTGAGATAAGCAGGTGAAGAGAGGTGACCCACTTTACAGACTGCACAGCGCTTGCCTTAGAGTAAAGGCCTGGAAGCGCTCACTAAATGAGCGTCTGGGGGGTGTCAGGTAGCTGTGCTGAGCCTGGTGGCTCCGGCCTCTGGAATACTCCGAGGCTTTAATTCTCACCACCTTCACAGGACCACCTGCAGGGAGCAGAGTGTGGACGGGAGCCCTCGCCCTGAGGTCACTGCTCCAGCCCCTGCCTCTGCCCCCTCGGAGGAGCAGACCCCTGGGGCCCTGCCCTAGGCCTGCTAGCTCCTCACTGCTCACACTTTGGGGCGGCTCCACAGGTCTCCCTGTCCTGCCTGGGGTACCCCGCTCCCACCCGTGCTCCCAGCTAAAAGCGAGTTTATGTTTTATTGGAAATAAAGTTTCAGCTGGCTCTGTCCACACGCCGCAGGCCCTCCACAGCACTGAGGGAGGAGGACACCC